AATGTTTAGGAAGGACTCAGTTAGCTAACTTCTTTTCTTTTTCTTTTCGATACTTGGGTAGCGATTTAATTTCGTACGGAAAGATGACTGATAGTATTTTATTTAGTTTCTGCCTAGCTGGGCTAGCTATCTTAATATCCCAAATGCATCTATGTAGTTTATCACATATCTATCTTCCTTATATACTAGGCCGATGCGGTGTTATCAGTAAACAGCTGATCGATGAAAACCCTTCTTTATGATACCGACCTTATACAATATATACTTTGGGCCGGCTGTTCTCCTTCATGAATAATTATGAAGTAGCCAAATAAGACCACTAGCAGGTTCACTGGGCGGAAAATGCACCTAAATATTTCCGATCCCGTCATATCTGACTTCTTAAAACTTCCTGATGGAGGGAGGGGGGGGGGCGGGGGGTGCAATAAATGACCGAAGGGACCCCCCTGACTCTTGAAAATCAAAATAATTATCCCTTTCGCATGTTGGGGAGAATTAGTGTTTCTTGTTGATGCCCTTCAACCTCCCCCCCCCCCCAAAAAAAAACAACTCATAATTGTCACTTTGATCAAAAATGATTTTAGAATGATTTTCATGCACAATGTTAATTACTCAACTTATTTATTTCTTGGGATTTTTATGTTAGAAGAGGTCGAACATATAAATTCATATTCAGTTCGGTCCTTAACTTCAGTCACCTTGGGCGTAACGTTTTCCCATTTCAGACCATGTCATTTACTAGATCTTGAAAATAAGATTATTTGTTTAAGTGGTATCCATATTCATGTGTCTTCTTATGTGCAATAGCCTCCTTTGCAGCCGTTCTTAGGGTCGTCACGCAACGTTTTTGTGGGGAGGGAAACGTTGCGTGACGACCCTAAGAACGGCTGCAAAGGAGTCTATATGTGCAACCGTTAAACAAAGAAATGATACTCTAGGGAATGACACTTGGGCACATCTAGAAATGGGAAAACATGACGCCGAAGGTAAAGAGCCTAGGTCTATTCAAATGTTCTAATTTTTGAATTTTTTTCCGTCATATTCACAATGAATCCATAAGTCTGAGCTTCTGTCAGAGGATCAAATAGCTGGTGAGTATAGCTGATATTGTAATAATGCGTCATGTATTAGAATTATATATACATCATTGTACGGCTGCTAATCTACCATCTATCCGGCCCAATATATTAAAGTCACTAACTTATGGGCCTTTATCACACTTAAATGCGAGGCCATGCCACGCGCGTGTGGTGGAACATATTGTTGTTATACCAACATAGTAGCCTACGTGCACACAAACACAAACTGTTGGTTAGGTTCATCTGCGAATCAGCAGCAGATTTCTTGTTCTAGACCCCCAGCAACGTACTCAGATTACTAAATTGTGATTGGTTAATCCCTACTCGCATTCTTGCGCGCCCTCTCATTGGCTGCTTGTGTTCGGATGCACGCAGACTTCCAACACGGCTGCCGTATGAAAAAGGACCATTAATTGTCACGTGAGTATTTGAGGGTGGGTTGGGATTTCTTAAATTTTCTCCAATTTCAAACACGATTAATGCGAGAAATTTTAAATTTGTGTACCTACGACCAGCGAAACTTTATTAAATAGCACATATTCAATCATTATTTTAATAAAATAAAAAATAAAATAAAATAATTAAATCAATTTTCTAGTATAAATTATTAATAATTTCCTTTACTTTTTTCAGAAGTCAGAATGATCTCTTTCTTTTATATTTTTATTTTTTAAAGGGAGATGTGAATTAATGTGATTCGTTATGATTGACATATTACAATCATGTCAAAGTAAATACGAATTTAGCTCATTTGATTTATGCCATGTTGCAATAGAGTACAAAAAACTGAGAAATACGACGTAAGATACACACATGCAC